TGATAGACCTGAATAAGTCTCTTCGGGCGAAGGTTCGGCCAGAGAGATCCACTTGCCCTGTCATGTGGCCTGCATTGTACTGTATCTAAATACAAACATACATAAATCCATTGTTCAATACCCAATACATGCAATACAAGCCCCTTTGTGGCAGCATTAAATAAAGAAGCATTGTTCTATTATTGGCTCATTGAACCGCCCTTTATTGATTCTAAAATTAACGGTTGCCCCTTGGACAGAACCACGGATTGGGACGCGTGGGAAGTCTCCTGTCACTCCACTGGAAAAAGCTCCGTCAGGCATTGAAAGTACATACTACCGTTCTGGCAGGGATTGTCAGTCCCCCCTTGCGTTGGATATTACAAGTGTGCCCGGTAATTTGCAATACAACAGGGCGAACAGACGTGTTGCTCTAGGCAGCACTTTTTCTCATCCCCAACCATCAGCCCTACGAGGCGACGGCCCACTTGGACTCGGCTTTCTCGGTACCACATGAACCAATAATACTATTGTTCTGTTCCACTTTCTGCCCATGGAGGATATCAATAATTCATTATTCATTACCAACGACTAATCATGAACGGCTCTACTCAGCTGCCACCACCACGTCATCATTTTGATCAAGAATTTCTCCCCTAGAAAATGGAACGGAAGCGGTAAAGGCCGGTGGAAAGCCCATCCCAGCCCCTCCCGAATTTGCTTCTCCACGGCCCTCCGCCAGTCGATGTGATGCGCAAAGTGAAAAGGAAAATGATGCTGACTCACTGTCCGGATAGTGCAGTCGATATGTGGATGGTCCTGTAGCTCAATTTGTGGCTGTAAAATATGTGGCTCCAGACTCTCGAGGTCGATTTCTAACCGTACTATCCCCGTTCCTGTCACCTGTCTCACATGTACTACGAGATCATGGTTCTTGCGGTCTGGCTTTTCATGCACGATGGCCAGGTCGATGAGCGGCTCATCAGTGTGTACCAGGTCCAGCAGATGCATTCGCTGGTCCTGCGGTGGACGGAGATCGATGCGGAAGTGTCCTTCGAAGATCAAATTGCGCGACTGGGGCTTGGAGTAGGTCGTCACTTTGGTAAATCGCAGCGGCTGGTCTACTACAGCCAGGGAGTGGATGACCAGTTTCTGGGGAGAGGAGTCTTCGCTGCGTTGGGCCAGTCCGGCGTTGACGTATTGAACGATCTGTTTGCAGATCTGGCGTTGGTAGAGGTGCCATGCTCGACCTAAGGCTTCGTTTATCCATTCTACGCTTTCGCCACGCTGTAAAACTTTCTGTGCATGGTATCGACGGAGCTCATCTCGGATGGCACGCTCGATTCGTCGGATGGAGACTTGGTAGTGCGTGCGGCATACGGCTAAGATGATGAGCAGCCAAACGAAGCGGAAGTGTAGTCGACAGAGGGTCCACGATGCTAGACAGCCGACGATAATCAACTTCGATTCTTTGTAGGTTTGTTCGATGAAGTCTAGGGTTTCGTTGAGGGTCGGGGCCCTTTGCTTGGCTTGGGGTTTGTCTTTGCCCATGGTTACATAGCAGAGGTATATATTATGGTGTTGTCGATGGTGAGCTCAACTGAGTGTGGAAAAAGATATGGGATGAAAACGACTGTGATCCATGGCCGGGGGCCAAACTGTAGCCATAATTCTTAGACGCAGGGAAGAGAAGGAGAGAAAAGGCGGTGCTGAAGGCTTAATATAAGCACGTCCATCATGCATGAACTGTCTATCTGCATTCCAATTAGGCAATCACCATGGTATATTACCGATACATACATACAGCTGACCGTATTTGCAGAAAAAGGTTATGAACAGTCCCCATGACCCACCGTACTAGTCCGCCTTATTTGCTGTCCTCGATGATCTCTCCTCCTGCTTCAGCTCCCTTTTACCGATCATTCGCAGTCTCCCAAGGTTTTTACGCCCACTTTCCGAGTAAAGCCATGATCCCCGCTCCCAACAACATGCATCCCACCATGACAAATAAATGCGATCTCCTCTTTGTCCGGTCGGGATCAAACAAAAAGTCTCTCGCCAACAATTCCACCAGTCCACTATAAATCAAAATTCCCGCGGAGATCGCATCCAGCACACCTTGCACAATCATCGCCGTCTTGGATCCCGGGTTGTACGACGTCCGCACCCCTAGTCCAATAGCAATAGAAATGGGCGTCGTTAGACCATACAAAAGACACAGCATCCATGGCATCCACCGACGGGAACCAAAATGGAGCGCTGACATGCGCGCACCAATTCCCAGACCTTCAAAGGCTTGGTGAAAGACCAACACGGGGTACAGAGTCGTGAACTCTTCGCCTGTCACACCCAGGTTCAGACCGATTATGACGGAGTGGAATATAATGCCGAACTCGAGGATCAGGAAGGCTGCGATTTCTTGTCGGAATGCCCGCTCGGAACGTACCGAGGCCACTTCCGTGTGAATATTGGTGGTTTTTGGGGTGGGCGTGCCAGACTCCACGGCGTGGGATGTACTGTCTGAATCCGACGCGCAGGAGTGTGTGATGAACGCCTCTGTGGCGTCGTCATTTCGCTGGACCCCGTATTTATACTCTACGTATACCTCAGCGCCTAGATCCAGCAGGAATATGGTTACGACGGAGGCGAGGACGATGGCGGCACACCAGGAGTAGTCTCCCCAGTGCCCGGACACTCCGATACATGAGTTCGGGCCGATGCTGCTGTATGCGGGATCCAGGAGGTGGATGAACGCTGTAGCCACTATGACACCTGTGCCGAAATATCGGGCGAAGAGGTAAACATGGTAGGGGATCCTCAACCCCGGAGCTCGTTTGGCAATCACGGGGAACAAGGTGAATGCGGTTGACGTGATGAAGATAACAAAAATAGAAGATATGCGGGCGCCGAGGTGGCCGTTGTAGTCGTTTTCGGACAGCGCCAGATAGCAGAGGACATCCGCCTGGCTAGCTGTGTCAAGGTCAACATTGTGAGCGTCGAAGGAAGACATGATAGTCGCGACAAAGGGCGAACGTTGAACCCAAAGAGGATTATCCTTTGCTCACCGTATTATACAACACGCATGAGTACCTTGGAGTTTATGTACACACATTATGTGCCTTGCAAGGTCCTTGGTGGTTTTACCCAGAGACTGCCCTTACCTTCTGGACTGAGATCAAGGTACACGGCCAACAGACTTTTGTAGGTGATATGGTAATTGATCGAAGTAAGCCCCAGTGAGGGACTGCAAGCCATCTTACCCTTCGGCGATGTAGCCGTACTTGTGACTTTTCTGATGAGATGACGTACACCCGACGGAGGTTTATCATGAAAGATTTGATGTCAATGGATGAAAATGACTTTTACAGTTAGCAAGTCGTTCAAGTAGTATCCAAAGCTACGTCAAGCTTTTGGACCGGGCTAGATGACATGCGAGGTCGGTCTGTCCTAAGTCTTTTACCTAGTGGGGACAGTGGAGATGGAAGGCCCTTATACTGAGTACCCTCGTGCCGACCATTCCCAGTGAAGTATTCTCGTTAATTCTTTTTTTTTCTTGTCCTTCGACCATGACCTGGAAGGACCAATCTTATCAAGGATCACTTCCAGCCAAATGTTTCTCTATATCCTCTCCGAATTGCCCATGCTGGATGTTCTCCATCGGCCAAAGTCAACCCTGTATAATGCATCCAGCACCAACACTATACAATATATCGATCATTGCTCAATGAAGGAAGGTGGACCAGTGCCGCGACAAGGATATGCGTCACTTAAAAGACCTCGAGCCTTGAATAGTAATGACTAGGACAAATGGCAAACGACTTGATCCTCCAGAATCTTCCACGATATTCCCTCATCTGGTGGTCCCTACCCTAAAGTGAAGGGCATTCAATTTGGCGACACTCAGATTAAGAGATCGGCATAGGATCCCGTCGTTATCCACCTTATATCCACCGCATACCCTCACTACGTACTCTTCGTACGTGATGCTATTTGCAAGATTGTTTCACTGTAGCAAGACCTACCGACATTTACTAAGGCTAGAATTGCAAGCTCCAATGAAGAACAGCTTCTCGCATCATTTTCGTTGGTTGGTGGCTTAATTCGCAAGGCACAGCTCCGAAGTAATTATGATCGCTGCCAACCCATCCATAGCAATACGCCATACCCATTGTGCACTCCCGGGTCGTGAGGGATTGATTGATCGTTCCAGAAGCTAGACAATGGGGTGGATCTCAGACAGTTAAAGATCGGCAATGCATAGCCACCATGAAAGGACATCAATGTTTACTCAGTATACGGATGCCACTCCGAGCAAAGGGGATTGTTCAAAGAGATCAGACGTATCTACTGAGTAGCCACTGGGCGATTGGGGCCCACTGCGGGCGGACCAACTGCTATTCTAACTTCTCGCCCTGACGATCTTCCACTTTTCTCCACCAACAAAATCCCAATGGGGAAATCATAGTCAGTTCCTGGTTTGGGACAACAACACGCTATCGCTCATGCCTGGTAATATCAGATGGTCCGATCTGTCTTTGCATGCTCTTTGACCTCATTTGCTATCTGTTGTCAGCGAGTAACTATACTTCCGAATATACAAAGCACCTTAAAATATTAGGAAGTACTGCCGACAGGAGTACGGCATAACTAAGTGATCGACCGGGAAAACTGCGGTACAAGGAAACCTTTGTCTTAGTCTACCAACCGGGCCTAGTTTCACCATGCAGCCCGTTTTATCAATCTCTAACGGGCTCCGCTTTCTGATTGAGGATACTCTAATGGTGCACAATTGGTGGAGGAATATACTCGGCGATATGAGTAGTCGTCATTGTACTGTTGCAACTTCTCTCAGTCAGCATATAAAGCCGCCATCATACCCACGGCTGTGCAGATAGATTGGTACTCTATACTCCCTTTCCAAGTTTGTCAATCCCTCCCTCATATCAAAAACTGCTGGTTCAGTTGGTTTCCGTCATTTTAGTATCGAGTCCGTTTTCCGTTGGCCATAACGCCCTGGCAAAATGGTTCTCCTCCGTTCTTTCCTGACGGCAGCTGCCCTGCTAGGTGCATCTGCCCAGGCCCAGAGTGTCGTTGGTACTCCGTTTGGCTTCGCCAGCGGGACTACTGGCGGTGGTAACGCCGCTCCGGCGGCGCCCAAGGACCCAAGTGAGCTCAAGGAATGGCTGGCCGACTCTACCCCCCGAGTGATTGTGATCGACAAGGAGTTCAACTTCATCGGTAGTGAAGACACTTGTACCGACTGCGAATGCTGTGTCCCGGAGTCGAACACCTGCGGCGATGCTGGGCAGAATGCAATCAAAACCGAGGGTTCTGACTGGTGCGGTTCCTACCCTGCTACGAAGTGCACATACGACAATGCCGGCCTTCAAGGCATGGAGGTTGCCTCTGACAAGACCATCATCGGTGTGGGCGACGCCGGTGTGATCCGTGGTAAGGGTCTGAGGCTGGTCAATGGCGTCAGCAACATCATCATCCAGAACATTCACATCACCGAGCTGAACCCCCAGTACATCTGGGGTGGTGATGCTATTTCGCTCGACGGCACGGACAAGATTTGGATCGACCATGTCAAGGTCTCCCTGGTTGGCCGCCAGATGTTTGTAACTGGTTATGAGTCTAGTATGTGTCACGGGGGGCAGAATTCATATTGGTCGGACAAAAGCTGATTAAATCGATAGGTGGTGGTGTTACTGTTTCCAACAGTGAGTTTGACGGTCAGACTAAGTGGTCCTCCTCCTGCGATGGACACCACTACTGGTCTGTGTAAGTGACTCTTAACTCTAATGCTGAACCGCCACAACGGACACTGATTACCTGCAGCCTAGGTTATGGCAAGGGCGACCAGATCACCTTTGCTAACAACTACTTGCATCACACGTCCGGCCGTTCTCCTAAGATCGAGTTCGATAGCCACTGGCACGCATACAACAACCTCTGGGAGAACAACAGCGGTCACGCCTTCGACGTCGGTGAGGGAGCCAATGTGCTTATTGAGGGCAACGTTTTCTCCAATGTCAAGACTCCTATGAACCCCGAGAATAAGCCCGGCTCCACCTTTGCTGTGAACGCTCAGGACGCGTCTTCCTGCACCTCTGCGCTCGGCCGTCCTTGCATTGCGAATGAGCTGACCAGTTCCGGCGAATTGTCGGGCAATGACGAAGCGGTTCTCTCCGGCTGGCCGAAGGGCGAAGGCGATTCTAAGGCTATGACCACAGATAAGGTGCCTTCCTATGTCAAGGCCAACGCGGGTGTCGGCAAGTTGGGCGCTGGCGGTGCTTCCAGCAGCGCAAGTGTTACTCCTTCCCCTACCTCTAGCGCGGTCCCATCTTCCAGCGCAACCCCATCCTCGTCGGCTTACGTCAGGCGCCATCACGCCCGTCGCCATCACTAGGTAAATAAGATCTCATATTGATGTTCCGCTTAGAGAACTAACCTTATTTCCTAGGGGCGTCTTCAAGGCCTCTCAACATACACATGAACGTATCAAGCAATCTCCAAGTATTCTAAGGGGTATGCCGATCACATCGATGCCTGTCTTGTGCATCACTCGGTCTGTGGCGCTGTAAGGGCTACCGGTCCTATTGTTATTGAGAAGGCTAGATGTCCATCGACATCACGGATTTCTGTCTATAGTTGTCATTCCTTGTAACTTAGATTTGGTGATTTAATCAGAACAGCGCAGTTTAGAGCTCCGTGCTCTCAGCTTTGTGATAATTCTATCCACTGTGAAGTCAGAACGCACTATATAATTCGCGGTTTGCTTCAGGCATTAATGTCTACCAGAAACTCAACGACATGAAGGGTTGTACATTAGTAATGCGAGGGATATAACTGCGACTTTATACGGGTGCAACGGCCTCCAACCCAGCCACCGGGATCCCTGAACGTGCAGAACACTATTTGTGGGGCGACAGGGAAGATGCTTTTGTCTAAAACGAGCATTTTTATTGTATGGACAATGCAACCCATTCTTCGGGATCTGCAGTGTGATGCCTGCAGCCCCAGCCTTGTGATACTTGACCAGGACTGGTTGATCGAATACAACTGTCATTGTTGATAATGGCTTATCGCAAGCTATCTTTACGACGACCATCAGCCAGGTGATGTCAGATGACCTCTCCTTTGTTCCCGCTGGAACGGTTGCACCATTCCATGCGCATTTCCGTTGCTCTTGTCACCCGCAAGGAGACATACTTCGAGCCGCAGCTATTTTATCGAAGGAAGGGTTTCACTTGCATGCCAGTTGCAACACAGCGTGCTAACCGTGATAAGCTTTCGGGATGATTACACTGCAGGACAGGACAGCCATGCTCAGGTGGAAGTGTGAGTCACCCAAAGAGCCAACTTTCTGATCGATTCGACTTCCAAGTTGAACGCTGCCTTATCGCTTTTGACATAGGTCGCATGTATACTCCAAATAGTGCCCTTCGACCGAGAGGTGGATTTGAAAAAGCCAAGCTTTAAGACCGCCTTTGGGGACGATCGCCAACGGATAACTGAGCTAAAACGCCGATCGTCTGCAAGTCGCTCAAAGTCAACCCTCGAGGATGCCAGACCCTTTTGTTCCCCCTTATAATGCAGAGGATTATTGGAGACTTTACTGAACATGGAACGACACGGGAAACCGTGCTGGACACTTGTGTCCAATAGCGTGCAAAATTGGGCACATTTTACGTGATCCTGCACCAATGATTTACGTGCAGATACGAGTCCCATTTCTTTTTTTTTTTTTTTCTTCTTTCTTGACATGTCACCAGCGCCGGAAGCGCATACAATTTGGAGTCCACCAACGATCGATCCACCATGTTCGCCACAGACTCAGACCCCTGCAATGAACCATTGCCTGAGGAAGCGGTCCCATGGTCTTGAGGAATTGGTTGAATTTATGTGAAATTCTTCGCACCTGTTGGAGGCAACTAAATACATACATAAGATAGGCTTTCGGTGCACCATGGATCCTCGACCGCTTCAAGCAGCAGGAGCGCAGGATTTTGGGCTTGGCTTTGTCTTGCGTGTCAGGTCTCGTCGTCATTCGGTGTATTGATTCTCCAATAATCCTGCCAGGTCCACAAAGTGACCGTGCATGAAGGATCCCAACTAGCGTGCGACCGAAAGGCAGTTTACGCCCCCATCTTAGGGACTTACCCCAATCGCCCTTTCCGCTGCTTTCCACGCCATAATTACTTGGGCGGCAGCTCGGTCACTTGAAGAGAGCGTCTTTCCACCGAACAAAGCCTTTCGAATCATAGCAATCCCAATACCATGAGCAGTGAGCATGGCGACCGGCAGAGCAATGATCAACCCAACCCAACTCTGACAGCTAAGCTGGGCGCGCGAAAGAAGATCCGCCCCACTTATTCATGCTTAAACTGCCACAAACGCAAAGTCAAGGTAATTTCCACACCCTGTCCGGGTTCTTGGTGGCTTCGCTGGCCATTACGGCTGTTGCGATTTCAAGCGCAGCGTCCTATTGGGCTGAGACTGATTCTCTGACGATTCGACTAATAAGATCTCGTTGATGCGGTAGTGCGACCGGGTGAAACCATGTGGCGCGTGCTGTCTTCGGGGGACGCCCTCGGAATGCGAATATGGCACCAGCAAAAAGGACCGACACTATATCGAACAATCGGCCCTGATCGAGAACCTTATGCAAACATGCGAGAGCCTCAAGCGGCAGCTCGCTGAGGCCCGTCAATTGGCCAACCTACCCCCTGTAAAAGCTGAAGAAACCGGCAGTAGCTCTTTATATCAAATTAAACCCAATGACAGCGACGAGGAAGAGCCAGGTGAGCAGGCAGCGCATCCTGGACAGGCGCGGCGAGATTCTCCCGACCCTTCAGGGGTGAGTACAGGGGATATTACCGGGTCGCAGAGAGAATGTATGTACCCTTGATCCGAGTCATAGCCGTAATCTCGACCGCCATGGCTTGACCCTGATTGGTCTTATATCGATATATTAATGCTACTCTATATAAAGCTTCCCCTACGTCACTGTCGCGCCAAAAGGCGATCTTAAACGATCCGGCCCTTGCCTCCACCGTGATGGAATTGTTTGTCGACCGACTGATACGTAATTTCAGCCCCGACGACCATCAGAAATACGGCGGTACCATCGCATTACGCGAAGCATCGGATATGCGTATGATCTCGCCCATGCTGTGCAACGCTTTTGAGGCGACCGCGCTGACCTTTGCCGGTCGGCGCGACGGGAACCGGTCAGTCGAGCTAGCAGGACATGCCAAATATGTCCGAACGCTTCGGCAGCTCCAAGCTGCCCTATATGACACCGAGGGGAACAAATCTACCGAGGTCCTTGTAGTTGTATTGTTGTCGACAATTACAGAGGTCAGTTACGGTTCTTGTGCCGGGTTCCATGGGCTCATATCTTCCAGGCCTTCAAACAAACGTCGAAAGATCTATATTTAGGCACCAGCTCGGTGGCTTAGAGCTTCTCCGTACGCGGTCGGCTTATCGACATCGCTACGGAATTGAGCGGTCTTTGTTCGTCGATCTTCGGCTGTATTGGGTATGACGCAGATCTTGCTACAGTTGCTAGAGGCTAATCTTGGACGTCCAGGTCACGGCAGCACTGGTTCATCGCAAACCGAGTTTCCTAGCGTCTAAAGACTGGTTGACTGTTCCCTGGGCGGGCGATGCGCCGGCCAAGGATATCCTGCAGCATCTCCTAGACATTGCCGTAGATATCCCCGGTTATCTTTCCCGGATCGATGAATTCAGCGCCATGGTAGATAGAGCAGCGGTATGCACGTTTGAGCTCACTGGGATGCAGAGCTCCATCTGGCAGCAAGCAACCGAGCTGCAGGCGCGCCTCAATCTGTGGAAAGCCGCCTACGCCGACACGTATCCCGCGGGCACCGCATGGGAAGCGTACGACACCGAGTCCGCCGACGGCTTTCCTATCTTCCAGTGTCGCAACACCAGCACCATGTCTGTCACGGTCGCCAAGATTCTGCACTATCCCGATATCCTCCTGGCGACCTCGATGTGTTTCTACTGGGCGTTGTCGCTAGTCGTCTCCATGTCGGATAGCGGGCTGGTCAGCGTGCTCGGCCCGCAACAGCGGTACCAATTCGCATGCGACATCTGCCGCAGCATGAAATACTACATCAACAACATCCCGGGGTATCTGATGTCGCGGATCATGTTCGTCCTGCGCACGGCGTTCGACGCGTTCTCGCCGGGGATGATCGAGAAGGAATTCATCGCGGAGTTATTCCAGTACATCGGGCGCAAATTGGAGTTTACAGTATTTTCGAACAAGTGCGCATCGTCGGCGGTTAAGAGCGAATCTACATGACCTCTTTTTTTTTCTCTGATTCCAACATTCCCGAGCTACGGTGTTTACGAATGACGAACCTTTCAATCTCTGGTGGCGCAGGTCCAAATGGTACGGTGTTTCGGGGAGTAGCACATGTGGATTCAATTCCATAGTATATTATCTATACCATGTGATGCTATAGCATATGATGACTATAGCGTAGGCTATACAGTCAATATACAATCAATATACAAGACACCAATGATGTCTGGTTCAGGACCCGTCCGGAGTGAAAATCCGACGGAGATATCGCCGAGGCCCCGCCTCGGCTGCGTCCTTCTCAGAGGCAGCACGGCACATCATGGATCCATCCAGAAATAAACCCAAAGGGGATCCATCCATAATCATCTTCACAGAGATGATGCGATCGCGTTGAATCTTCTAGATTCGATCGATAGGCGGTAGTATCGAGAATCCAGAATCGAGATAGATTGATAATCTCGGCCCAAGCTCCGAGCAACGCACGTTAATATCCGTAGCGTCCGTAGCGTCAACCAGCGCATCACGCACTCTCGTCGTAGCCAGTTACTAGCACTAGTAGTAGTAGCTAGCAACTTAGCCAGCTAGCCAGGCTACCGGTAATACCAACCCAACCCGACACGGCAAATTAAAACTCACCCCCCGCAGCACGCGTAGGCAGAGTAATAAACAGTCAATCGTAAATAGTAAATAAATAGTATGGCATGATCGATTGATTCACCCACCCACACTCACAAACGCCTCCCCCAAAGCCCCCGCCAACGGATCAGGACAAATCGTGAATCCGCCGGACGGGTCCACGGGCAACCAGTTGGAGGTGAAGCGCGTGCTGCCGTCGGGCATTTCTAGGGGTGTGAAAATGTCTTGCTCTGGTTGTGGCTGTGGTTGTGGTTCTGCTTGTGCTTGTTGCTCGGGTTGTGGCTGTGGTTGTTGTGGTTCCGGGTCTAGTTCTTCTTGGTATGGAGAATGCGCTTCCACGGAAGAACGTCGGCGTTTCGGGTTGTGGTGTCCACTGCCACTAGCACTAGTAGTAGGTCTGGTATGGGTAGGGTAGAAGAAGACAGCGTCTTCGGGTAAAACGCCGAGTGCGAAGTCTTCCCGGTCTCCGCTTGCTTCTGGGTAATTGTATGTGTATGTGTTGTGGTGGAGCCCTGTGTCTGCTTTACGCTTTTTTTGATTCGGGGAGTGACTGTACTCCGTGTTGAATGTGTATGTCGGCGTGTAGCTGTGCGAGGGCGGTGTGCGCGGTCCGAAGGATATGCTCTCGGTGTCGCTGTTGGAGACGGAGATTGTGTCGGAGGGGTTATGCGTGCTTGTTGGGGAGCTGGGAGAGTAGATTGCGTTATTGTTGTGGTTGTTGTTGTTGTAGTGGGGACCTTCGTTCGGGGTGGTTGGTGTTGGTGTTGGTGTTGTGGGTGTTGGCGTGGACGTGGTCATGTACAGGGCTCGCTGGGTGGCTTGGTAGGAGGTTGAGCGGAGGAGCGTGCTTAATGCTGTTGTACCGGGTTCTTGTGTTTGGCTGTGTTTCTTTTGTTAGTTATCTTTCCTTTCGGTACGTATGCATAGCTGGTGTAGAGAAGTAGAATAGAACCCAGCATAGAGTTCTATACACTCATCTCGATCCCACCGAGGAAAAAAAAATTGAAATAGATAAAAAAAAGAACATACCCAACTTCCCCCTCCCCAAATGCACATCCCAGCTCCACCAAATCCACCGGATAATTAAACCCAAAGTCAGTCGGCACGGGGAATTCTCCCGCCGGTTTTCCCGCCAGGTCCAGGTCCAGGTCCCAGTGCTCGAGCATTCCGGGGGCGAACACGTCACTGAGCGAGAGATCGAGGTCGTGGCCATCGTGGTTGTGATCTAGGAAGGGGATTTCGGTGTATGGGACTGTTGTGAAGAGAGTGTGGTCGTGGGTGGTCATTTTTGTTTGTTTCACTTTGTGAGGTTGGGTCGATTTGAGTGTGGATTTGAGGGTCGAAATGAATGAGGAGGTCAGTATAGAATCAGAGTGAATCAGCTCATTCAGAAATATCGATTCATCGTAGATATAGATAGATTTGTTGGTATGCGATGCGATAGCTAGCAACGATGCAGCTTCAACTCCAGATATAGGTACAGTTGTAGATATAGCTTGTAAACAATAGCAATGGTAAGGTAGGTATAGGTATACAAATCAATCAATCAATCAATTCTACAGATAAACCCCAGTCTGGGGGCCCTGCCACACTTATACTCCTCTGTACCATCCCCAGGTCACCCCATGCCCAAATGATAAATCCCAATAAAAACAAGTATAGACCCATCGGCAAAATAAAACTCCAACCTTGTCCCCGAGCTCGACCCCATACCACCGTTTAATTTCGAATTACCTTAGAAAAAGAAACAGAAAAAAAACCATGCCGATCACCTGGCCACATGGTTATGTCACCGTCCGAGTCCAGGTCCTGAAACTGTGACTAAATTTCCCCGGAGCTTTGCAATTTAACCGACATTTTGAGTTTGCGTTTTGGGTTTGATTAGATTTTTTTCGTTTCCCCGGATTTTTCGTCGTGTTCCTGGTCGGTTGGTCGGTTATTAGGGGTCTGGTGGTGTATTAACCGAGACCGAGTGTGAACTTTGATGTCGGGCCGGGGTTGCGGAGTCTGGGGTACATACTGTCTATTTTACGAAGTCCTTTACGGAGTACTCACGAAGGTTGTCAGCTGTGATGTATTGCATGATGGTTGATTCTCTGGAGTCTTGGGTTGTTTATCATGTCTTGTTAATTTTACTTTGTCTCTATTTTCTCCGACTTTGGTGAATCGGATGCTAAACTTATACCTTGTCAATATCTGTAAAGACTATGTTTACTATGTAGAACAATAATCCTAATAATTCTAATAATTATATTGACTATGGAGGGAATCCTGGAGAAAAGGAATAACCTCACAGCTCGTACCACACATCAGGTGGTGTTCCCCTTGAGGAAAGAGATGGTGCCTGACGGTCGTGCACAACCATCGAAGATCGCTACTTCTAACGGCCGGTTCCTTGATTCGATCCGCCCGATCTCTCTACTGGCGGAGATAGATTCTGATCTTGCTTTTGTTAATTTTACCTAAGATATTTAACCGAGCACGTGGATTTGGGGTTGGTAGGAGCCGTAAATTAGGAGGGGATATTACCCGATTCTGAAGAGATATGATTATCCGCTTTGAAGAGTTGTGATCTAGATAGCTTGCTCTGAGATGAATGGGTGTGGTCAAGGACAATACCGTAAATAAATCATTATATACCATACTACACATACATATACAGACGTCAATATCCACGTCGGAACCAACTATATACATCACCGGGAGTTCTTTTATGACACCTAGTTGAACACAGCTACACCTGCGTATACGCAGTATGACGACACTGAGCTGCATATCTACTACTATGTACAGCTGAGTAGATCCTGCGCTGATAGGCCCGGTTCAGAGCCGAGAACCCATCGACATTGGCGAGCCCTAATTACAAGGCTAGTCCGGTTCCCTTTCGTGTCCATCGGTAGAGGGCTAACACGGCCTTCCGCCGGTGCCGGATTTCGCTGTGATTGACAGGGCGCCCGCGCGCCTGAGCAACGGCACTGCGCATCACCTGCCGGAAGTTTCTCTGATACTCTGTGTTCAGCGTCACGACGCACGATTCCGTAGCGCGGATCATCACTTCACACGCGTTCAGGATGCCTTCGCCCGCTTCCTTCTGCAGGCGTTCGACGATCAGCAGTAGTAAGAAGCTGCCTTGCAGTAATTGGATGCCGAAGAAGTACGGCATAAAACTAATATCAGGATCGAAGCGGAGAATCTGGTCGACCGAGTCGGCGGCGTCTAAGGCGTGGGAAATCGTCGAGGCAAATGCAGGGGAGGATGTCCAAAAATCTTTGTCTTCGATCAAAGAGACCGGGTCCCATTTGCCCACGAGGAGGATATGCAGAACGTGCACCAGGTACGACGCATAGGAGATCACCGTTTGGGTATGCCAGGAATAGGCTTGGGTGAGGGCGGGATCAACCCCATGGTCCGGCTTGGGCGGCGGATATGCATACAAAAGTGGGGCCTCGGGATCCGAGGCAGTGGCTGCAAACGTCGTCAGGCTGGCTTTGTAGATCTCCAGTTGGCGCAAGACTTCGTTGACATGCACATCCCACGCATCTTTCCCATTCAGCCTCACTCCGAGCATCGGATGGTTGCGAGACTGATTCAAGTCAATCAGCTCTCCAGTCATGGTCATCAGGGGGAGAAAAAAGCCGAAGATAGAGTGGTCGTGGCAGATGAAATTCGGAAACACGCGGCGTTTATTTTTGTCGCCCGATAGTACGCACTGTGGCCCGTCGGGTCGAGGACTGTTGCTATGGATATTCCCCGACTGCCAGGACCCTTCGTCCAACGGCAGCAGTAGATCTTCGCTTTCCGCGTCCAGTAAGGCCAATGGCCGGTTGTAACATAACGCCAGATGGCGATCCATAATATACAGTAACCACCACGCCCGACGACGCTCCTCGCGGTGCTCTTCGGTGATCGTGTTCTGCGTGTCCTGGCGGTCACAGACACAGTTCAAGCTCGGTCGGGTCGGATTCGAGTAGTCAAAAAAGGGTCGGGGGTCTACCCCGTTCCACCCCGGTAACCCATAATCGAACGAAGGGCTCGACCCTTCGGTTTGAGTATCTACATTCGGCAGCACCTCGATCTCCTGGTTCAGCTTGAGCTCACGAGCGAGGGTAAACGCCGCATGCCACCATCGCATGCTGGCCGCTTTTTGCTCGCTCGAGGAGATGATGGACGCGACGTGGATATAGGTAATCACATCATCCAGCGATCCCGCCGGTCCCACCAGGCCCCGATCATCCCCGCCCCCTTCAAACGGATGGTGTACCGTGGTCGGGGGCAGTTCCTGGCCGACCGGCTCACTCAGAGATGCCCCCTGGTCTTTGAAGGACACGTGAATCAACGGTCTCAATAAACGGATCGTGAGAGCGCACAGGAACTGGCAGATATTCTTCCGCTGCTGTGGCGAAATCGACAAGGCAAAAGCTCGGTCATCCAGCGCTGCCACCCATAGCATACTGGCCAACAGTGCCGGAGTGCTGGGGCGCGGCGCATCGCGACTGAGGAAAGAGGCTTTGCGCAAGATATACGAATGGATGTGATGGCACACAGGATGCATTTGGGTTGAGAAAGCGCTGGTGAAATAAAGTTCAAGCAGATCGAACACCAGCCTCCGGGGCAGGTTCGCATCCAAAAACGGCATTAACGGCTGCAGGACCGGATATTTCAGTGAGGTCGGCGGTACGCCCGGCGTCTGGCCCACCACTTTCGCACCTTGCGGCGTGGGACCGCTATTGTTGGACAAATCCACTCCACTCCATACATCGAACATTCGGGGAAACGGTCCCTCCCCCAACCCGCCGCCCAAGAAATCGTATGACCCCGGAGACACATGGGCTGCTGCCAGCCATTCTTCCGTCACATTGCCCCCGGGGGCCAACTTCCGTGGGGGCAATGGCACGTCGGCTTGCGACCGGCGCTCATCAACACTCGGCGCGGATGCGGTCATCTCGTTCGTCCCGGGCGACCGGTGCGGAAAACTGGACGAGGGAGAGCCATTCGGTGCTGGCGTTGCAACTGCATCCGCCGTTGCCGGTGCGGGGATACGTCCATTCGCCTTTCCAGTGCCGCCCTTGGTGTCGGTCTGCTGCGATCGTGCAATGCGACCCCGTTTCCGACGTTCCCGGGTGAATTCGCAATGAATATCACTGCGGAGGCAGCGCGAACAGGGAAAGGCCCGGTCGCATCGCACGCGCCGTGAGTGGCAGGCGTCGCAGGCAATGCGGTTGCGTCTCCATTTCCGCTTGGCGGTGCTATTTTGCGGATCATCGGTGGTCTCTTGTGTATTGCCTTGCGGCGCATCCCCCGACTGGGCTGGGTCCATGTCAGGTAGACATTGGTGGTGGTCGGAGGGTTGCAAGAGGAGAGATTCTTCTGAGGGAGGAGTTAGCATGAGCCAAGACCTGGGGCAGTTGGAAAAAAAGTACAACGGCCGGACTGCTTCCGGACAAGACGGTATTCAAAGGAAGAGGAAAAGATCAGGCGTATAAGTATCGCATGGGTGGGGAGACTCGAATGACAAGAAAATAATGATCAGAAATCAAATACGATCATATATCGAAGTGACCCGAAAAAAATAAAATAAAAATAAAAATAAACAGAAAGAATAAGGAAGACCCGCAAGAACAGGGGCCAAAAGTCGCGCAGTGAAGCTGGAGGCCGGAGGAATCGCGGGGGAAGAACTTAATGAAGGAGACCGACTTGGTCTCCGCACCGACTGGGGTTTTTTCCCTTTCGTACGCGCTCCACTTCAACCTCGGCGAATTTAAATTGATTGGTCCTTCATCCAAGACATTCGAGTCTTCGCGGTACGAATCTTTCACACGACGAACTCTTGCAAGGAAAAGTCTATTCTGCTGAATGGACCTCCGTTAATATCATTCTGTGGATTACTATCGTCCTTTGGGCAATCGGTGAATCCAAGGTTCAACAACGGCGCTTCCTAGACACTGCCACTAGTCATACTACTCGGAGTATAATAAAGTAGACAAGGGGTTCGACTTTAGGTTAACAACCCCTGCGACATTATGTATCTAGGAAGAACCAGTCAGTAGTCTATGCTAGCATACAGGAGCACTTCGATCTCCCCTGAACTGACCAGATTGCTATTTATATTCATAAACTTTGAATGTCTCAGGTGAAAGTACCCCAGATTTCCACTATACTGAAAGATCTAACGATCGGCATATCTCGCTATCGTATGGCTCGCTTGCGGGAAAATGGAGAGAACAGACTCAGGGTGGTCTGTGCACTGTGCACTGTGCACTCCATTCAAGTACAACCTTAATCATCTCGTTGATTTGAGACATTTGTCTTTGCGTCGTATGGAACGCGTTCGCAAAATAATAGAAGGTTTAGAAAACATATCGTCAATAATAACGTACGTCGGTCGGCAGAGTGCTTGCGCTTCAGCTGGTCGGAAGCACGTTTGGACGTATTTCTCGCCTTATACACTTTCAGTCACAAGGATCATGAGAAAAGCATTGCGGGATACCTTTCCCCAGAATGTATAGACTTAAAAGATCATGCGACTAATGCCTCCTTCAGGAGTGTCATGCTCCCTGAGGAAGGAATAGCATGACGCGTGTATGGGGTCAGAAATGGCTGTGATCATCACAATCAGGTTCTAGCGGTGGGTCTAACAGTGGAAGGATCTGTAGAATGGTACACAAAGTTCGTGTTTGGTTCAAGACCACTCGGTCGTCCCAAGATGTAGTATGGAGGAGACGGGCTGCCCACAACTTCCACTCAGGGATGGAAGGGAATCAGGTGATCTGGTAATGGCTGAAAATCTATCACCATTGCCGCCACAGAGTATGTGCTGAGCGATATGATGAATATACAATCGAACTCAGTATGATTGATGCACTCTTGGACTTGTATTCGCTATCAATCTTCTATCAAACAGAGTTGATTTACAATCTATATTTGGATGGACACCAAGCAATATACTATCTGCACCAGGAGCGTTATCAGATTCAAGATACCGGCTGGTATCCACCCGGTATACGGAATCACCATAAGCTAGGGTGGGGAGGAATCTCTACAGTGTGACTGGCACATGATACAGAATATGCCAGAAACTTACCATGAGGGAAGTCTCGCAATATGACTAAACCCATTCACTCACGAAGGCCCAAACAAAAATCATCTATGTCTTGTATTCGAGCTACTCGGCCTGTCAGTTGATCATATCCTCCACCTGAGCTCACTGTCTGTCAAATGTCAAAGTAGCTTCCAGAAACAATACTTCATCCATGACGCTGCGACGCACGGAGCTAAGTTACACCTCCCTTCGCAGCTTGTATGTCCTTACGCCGTACAGATAGAAGTTGTACAAAGGCTGATTTACTCTGTAGTTACTTCGGTGATGCAATGAAAAGATGATTTCGAGACGATTGGATGTCCAGAGATTAAACCCTTAGTCCGCATTGATGGACCGGTTGCACAAGGCTTGCCCAAAGACCCGATAAAGGCGGTAGAATGAGTTGAATAGAGAAAACGACGAGCAAGATATGACTCACTCATTATATCATGGAAGCTTTTTCAAAAGACGAGCCGTCGAGACTAACTCAACTGGAAACCCGCGGGTGTCTGAGTTAATATTCGGGGAGTGCTTCGATTACGCTATCCACTTTTAGCATACGATTTATAGCATACCCGCCCATATGCCTTGTCGATGTCGGCAGGCTATCATGAACCACTGGAGTCCAGGTTCTGTTCCGGTAGTGAAAGCGGGCGAAATCTCGGTCGATCAAACTGAACTACGAAGCACAATAGCCAATCCTTGTTTTGAATATCCTGTATCTATAACTTTCCTCAAGGGGCAGTATCGCAAGACCATGAAGACATGAGCAGTATATATCCTCTTCGCCCCTGAAAGACAGCCACAGTTACCGTGGAAGGCTGCATCCGATGTAAAAGACTTTATATGGACGGATTCTACAGAGTCGTACGGGCTCTGATCGGTAGGGAAATGGGTTGATTCGGGACGAACAAGCATTCATCTGCCGACATGCATCCTGGTTCGATGAGATCAAATCAGTCTTGATCGGGAGAACATCGGAAACCCCACATCAATGCACGGATTCCTCCCCACACAACGTCATTTTCTGGGGAAACAAGACGACCCTTCGAAACTCGGCCTGATGATCCCCCGATACACTTTCTTAGGATAGTGTTTGCATTCAAAAGGATGTAATTACGCGTATAGTTGCGCCTCGGCCAGCATTCCCCCGAAATTCAACCGCCTTTCCTGGAAGACCCCTTCGAGGAGAGTATCTCCGGTGATAAACTACGGGCGGGGGTTGCATTTAAAACTTTGCCTAGGGCCAGTATACACGATGACCAAGATTCGGGAACTCGTTTGCACACTTCAGACGCAATGCGCCTTCCTTGGTCTGCGTGGCTCCTAAGCCCAGCTCTTCTAGCTGTGGCCTGCTATGGCGTGCCTTACAACGAATACATTCTGGCCCCCGCATCACGACATCTCGTTCCCCTTGAAGTTCTCGAGGTCAATGGCTCCGTTACAAACCCCTCCTCTCTGACGCAATCCAGCGGTGGAAATGCTACATTTGATGGGCCAGCCTCTGTCACGTTCGACTTTGGCCGCAACATAGCCGGCATTGTGTCTCTAGACATTGGGTCCTCATCCACACGCAATGGCTTCATTGGCGTGACTTTCACAGAGTCTAGTTTGTGGATCAGCAGTCAGGCTTGTGATGCCACAGCTGATTCAGGTCTCGACTCACCATTATGGTTCCCTGTCGGTCAAGGACCGGGTACATACACCGCAGAAAAGAAACACAATCGCGGCGCATTCCGGTACATGACCCTGGTCACCAACACAACTGCCGCGATATCTGTCCGCAATGTCCAGATCAACTATACAGCTGCCCCATCTCAGGATCTCCGCGCATACACGGGCTACTTCCACAGTAACGACGAGCTGCTCAACCGCGTCTGGTACGCGGGTGCATACACTAACCAGATTTGTACGATTGATCCAAGTACAGGGAATGCATTGCCGTTCTTAGGGATCATTAGCTCGGATAGTAACATCACTCTCCCGGACACCACCCCTTGGTACAGCAACTACACTATCTCCAACGGCAGCAGCACACTTACAGACGGTGCAAAACGGGACCGTCTGATCTGGCCGGGCGACATGTCAATTGCACTGGAAAGCGTTTCCGTGAGCACGTCTGACCTCTACAGTGTGCGCACCGCCCTAGAGACTCTGCTTTCTCAACAAAAACCAGACGGCCGTCTACCCTACGCCAGCAAGCCGTTCATTGATATTGTGAGCTTCACCTACCATCTCCACAGCCTCGTTGGTGTATCTTACTACTACCGGCATTCGGGCGATCGAGCTTGGCTATCTCAGTATTGGGGCCAATACCAGAAAGGCCTGCAATGGGCACTTTCCAGCGTGGATGACACTGGACTTGCCAACGTCACTGCCAGCTCTGACTGGTTGCGATTCGGAATGGGAGGCCATGTAAGCACTCTGTTCTCATCAAGCGATATCCAGAGAGCTAACCCAAGCAGAACATCGAAGCGAATGCCATTCTCTATTTCGTTCTCAACGAAGCCCAAGATCTGTCCCAAGCCATCAGCAACCATACCAATGCCAACTGGACCAAAATAGCCAGCGGTATCAAATCCGCCGCCAACAGGAATCTTTGGGATGCCAGCAACGGTTTATACAAAGACAACGAAACAACCACACTCCACCCACAAGACGGCAACGCATGGGCCATCAAGGCCAACCTCACCCTCTCCGCCAACCAAAGCAGCACCATCTCCTCCGCCCTGAGCTCTCGCTGGGGCAAATACGGCGCACCAGCCCCCGAGGCCGCAGATGCGTATCCCCTTTCATCGGCGGCTTTGAATTACAGGCCCACTTCCTCGCAAACCAACCCCAGAAAGCGCTCGACTTTATCCGCCTTCAGTGGGGCTTTATGCTAGATGATCCCCGCATGACGAACTCGACTTTCATCGAGGGCTATTCGACCGACGGGTCTCTCCACTATGCTCCATATACTAATGACGCCCGTGTATCGCATGCTCATGGTTGGTCAACCGGCCCCACGGCGGCGCTCAGTTTCTTCGCGGCTGGACTACATCTTACAGGTCCTGCTGGGGCGACGTGGAGGTTCGCCCCGCAGCCTGGTGATTTGACAAGTGTGGATGCGGGATACACGACCGCTTTGGGGCTTTTTTCAACGACGTTCAAGAGATCGGAAAATGGAGATTATCAGGGGTTGACCTTCACTACTCCGCAAGGTACGACAGGTGATGTAGACCTGGCGGGTGTCGAAGGAGCATTGGTTTCGACGGATGGCGAGCGTATTTCTCTAGTGAAAGGAACTGCAACAGGCATTGCTGGAGGCTCATGGGAGTTAGAGGTTGCAAGTCAATAGAACGAGATCAACTTGACATACACCATTCCAAGACAAAGCAGAAATATTACTCCAATACATCACTTTGTAAGAAAGTTACTGTAGCCTGTGCCTCTCAAGTCCGTTTCAATGTAAAGCACAGATATCTACCGAGGCCAAGCAAATGGCGACCACACCACTGCATAAATCAAAGTATCTAAAGTTAACCATATAATTTTATCTATGAATATCTATGTAGTAATGTATAACCCATATAAAAACGCCGAACCATGCCATCTTCGCAAGACCTCATGAATCATTAAGCAGAAGCACAGTGACCACCATCGACCCTCAAGTCCGTTCCAGTCATCCAGCCGCTGCCATCAGCGAGCATGTAAACTGTGGGCGCCTTGAAGTCCTCGGGAACACCCAAGCGGCCGAGCAGGGCACCACGCATCCAAGTCTCCTCGACCTCCGGCTTTTCCTTGAGGAGCGCATCGGTCATAGCCGTGCGGATGTACTGGGTATTCAATTAGCATTGCGAGCCAGAACGACAGCCATGGAGTAGAAAGTAAAACTTACACCGGCGGACAGCGTGTTCACACGAATACCATACTGGCCCCATTCCTGAGCCACAGAGCGACACATCTGGTGAACGGCGGCCTTGGACGAGTTGTAGGCGGTACATGTCAGGCCGCGGTTGGCGATCTGGCCCGACATCGAAGCGATCATCACGATACTTCCGGGGGTGTTCTGCTCCTTGAAGATGCGTGCGCAGTGCTTGGCCGGGATGAAGGTTCCGATGACGCTGCGCAGAGTCAATTAGTATCTAAGTAACTTTATAGGTGGTTAAATGAAGGCTTACTTGACATCCAGCATCTTCCTCCATCCGTCGATCGGGTAGTCCAGCGCCGGCACCATCTGCTGAATTCCCGCGCAGGTGATCGCGCCCCGCAAGGGCATGTTCCGCTTCAGACCCTCGGCGGCGATCTTCTCAAGCGCGTCCTTCGTCAGCTCCTCGTTGGTGATGTCACACTGCATGTATGTGGCTTGCAGTCCACGCGCGGAAGCCAGCTTCTGCACGGTGGCCCATTCCTCGGCGCTGGGCGTGGGCAGGAGGTCCAGACATGCGACATCTCCGCCGGCTTCGAGGACGGCTGCTGCAAGGACGATTCCGAGTCCGCGACCGCCGCCGGTGATCACGACTGTGCGGTTGCCGAGAGAGAAGAGGTCGCCGGTGCGAGCCACGGCGGGATTCTGGATAGATTCCGGGGCGACGGCTGTCGTGTTCTCGGGGACTGCGGAGGGGGCCATTTTGGTGTTGTGAGTGTATTTGAGAGATTATTGTGTCTGGAAGAGCAGGAGCGAGTGGTTGGAAAATTGGGGGACTCATATATATGTTTGTGATGCTGGCTCTCTGGCGCTTATCCACGACTAAACTAGTAGGACGGCCGATTCGAGCATGGAGAGCTGCATGTTTCATCATATTGCTTGGGGATGCTTATCCACATGAGTTCTTTGGTCGGCCAACCGAAGATCAGGTACGCTGCTCATGGTGGACGCGGTACTACCCCGACCGATGGTTGTGTTTACCCATGGGGGTTATCCCAGCAGAGGGCGCCTATTTGGTCCAGAAAGGGTAATATGGGGGAAGTCCGGGGGGTGGCGTGTGGATCCATTCTGCAGGCGCTAATGACTGCTGTTTTAGGAAATCGGGCCGTGGTACCGAAGCGTCGGCTGGAGTCCACCCCGGAAGTTGACCGGCACCGGGATCAGGTACTACTGTTGCCAGGTACCCCGGTATCTCGACCCTCTTCGGTGGGAATTAGCCCCCATGGGAAATTCAATGGTCTGAGCACTATTAATGCATCGGGGGCTTCTTCACTCGGATATTCCAAAACAAGGGGGCTGATAGTTAGGATTGTAGACTACAGAAGCGCAACAGTGATAGGCTGGAGTGTACAAGTTAGGGAAGAACTCTACGAAAGTTTAAATCCTGCGCCATTTTCCTTGTTACGCCTCCGAGAACCTTCCCCGGGGCCCCGCAATTCGTAGGCTGTTGGCACGAAAACACACGGAAAAGTTCAAGCTATGACGTCCGAATTTTTTCCGGGGTAGAACGATATATAAAAGTAGAAGTAGTCCCATGAACCTGATTGTTTCTCCGTGGTGTACACACATAAGTCACAACGAGAATTAGACCGGCGGCCATAATGACTTTTCTTGTTGGAAAGCCGCTGACGATGGCCATTACGGCCACTGCTGGCAGTGGCTTCCTTCTGTGAGACTATGTGTATGCCCTCACATTAAGATGTATGTACTGACTGAACAGTTTCGGTTATGACCAAGGTGTCATGTCAGGTCTCTTGTCAGGAGATGCATTCGTTCACACGTTTCCCGAGATTGATACCACCACTGGTGGCACTGGTAGCCCGACTTTGCAAGGAACTGTGTAAGTTTCACCAGCGTGATCTTTGGGCTAGGGCTAACGAAGTATCAGTGTCGCTATCTATGAGATTGTGAGTCACCCTCGCCTTCCTGTCAGCTAGGTCTGACTTTCATAGGGTTGTTTCCTGGGTGCCATTATGGCCCTGGTTTGGGGTGAGAAGGTTGGACGTCGCATGTGTATCATGGCTGGCTGTGTCATCCTCTCAATTGGTGCTGCCCTACAAGCCACCGCTTATGGTATTCCCCATATGATCGTTGGTCGAATTGTGGCAGGTGTCGGAAACGGACTCAACACTAGTACCATCCGTACGTACTTTCCTTGTGACCTTCGAGTGCGGTGGACCAGCTAACGTTCAATAGCGGTTTGGCATTCCGAACTGAGTAAGCCTGAGAGCCGCGGGAAAGGGGTAAGTCTCCGCCTTCAGCGTAGCTCGTCTTATACTGACGTGTTATAGCTCGCTATTGAATTGTGTATCAATATTTTCGGTGTTATGACTGCGTACTGGGTCGGTAAGTTCAGGGCTATGCTCCCCCTTTCTCTTTCTCTCGGCAACCTCTGACAAAACAGACTATGGCATGAGCTACGTCAAGAACGATGCTCAATTTCGGTTCCCTCTAGCCCTTCAGATTCTCTTCGCTATCCTCACTTTTATCGGTATCCTTGCCTTGCCCGAGTCACCTCGTTGGGTAAGTTGCTACTTTTCTATCAATGATTTCTTAACTGACAGCCCAGCTTATTGCCCATGGCCGAGAAAGCGACGCCCGCCGTATCATTTGGTCTCTCCAGCCTAATGCCCGCAACATCGGGGAGGACGACCCAGTCATCAATCAAGATGTCGCCGAAATTACACAAGCTATCCGGGAGGAACAATCCGCTACAGAAGAGAGCTCTTTCATGATGGTGTTCAAGAACGGTCCTCAGAAGTTTCTGTACCGGACACTATTGGGTATGGGCGGACAGATGATGCAACAGTTGTCCGGTGTGAACCTGATCACATATGTGAGTAGCTGTCCATGCCTGGAGAACTTACGGTCTAATGCAAGCAGTACAATACCGTTATCTTCGAAAAGTCTGTCGGTATGACCCATAACTTAGCGCTGCTGTTGGCAGGCTTCAATGGCGTGGCGTACTTTGTGTCCACTCTGGTCCCTATCTGGACGATTGATCGGTACGTTGAGTACTATTCCTCTGTATGAAGGACAGAACTAATTTTGCAGGCTCGGTCGACGGAAGCTGATGCTTTTCGCTGTGGTTGGACAAGGGGCGTGCATGGCTATTCTGGCCGGCACAGTGGCGGACGGTGGCCATGCCGCTGGTCTGGTAGCCACCGTGATGCTATTCCTTTTCAACTTCTTCTTTGGAGTGGGATTACTTGCCATTCCATGGCTCTGTATGTTTATCTTTCATTATCCAGATCCGATTCAGCATACTAATCATCGGCAGTGCCTGCGGAATACTCCCCGTTGGCTACTCGTACCCGATCCGCAGCATTGGCGACGGCAACCAACTGTACGTTTATCCCAGTTATCTGCGATGTGTCATGCTAATGAGTCCAGGGATCTTCACTTTCTTGGTAGTAGAAATCACTCCGGTCAGCATTGACAACGTTGGGTATCGCACGTATATCTACTTTGCAGGTATGTACTACGCATCTGTATACACTACCAGTTGCTAACAGTAGCAGTGTTCAACTTCTGCTTCATCCCTCTGATTTACTTCTTCTACCCTGAGACGCGCAACCTCACTCTGGAACAAATCGACCACTTGTTCACTGGCGAGAAGGTGAAGCTTCATTGGCACGCATCGATGGGAACTGCCGGCGACGCCGAGCGTCGTCTGGGAGAGAAGGACCCAGAGCTTGCTGGTGTCCAGCATGTCGAATAGATTATTTAGTTTTCTTTTCTGTTTCCGGGGTGTCGCAGGGCTTAAACTCAGCGGTGCTATGAGTTAGTGTACAATAATGGAATGTCTCCATGTCTTCATTTTTCTGTATATTCTTAATAAATACTACACTGCCAGACATAAGACAAGACATATCAAGTATCTCTGCTGCAATATGCGTACTCTAGAGCCTTAAAATCTCCAACAAATTCCAACTGCATCCAACTGAACCCTAATAGTTTCAGATCATTAGTCTTAAGTCTCGCTCAAGACATGAACCACGGCTCTGCAGCACCTAACCTGCATCCCTGGTTCTACGTAACCTACTCCATCGTACGATAGCCGGATAAATAAATAAGAATGAAATTTGGGACGACCCACCGCAGAGATTCCAGAGGCCATCTCCGTGTTTTCCCCACATTTGATCAAACCCGGTGGCGGTTATCGGTTCCCGATCCGGTAATCCGCCCGACACGCTGTCGACGACCCCAAACTTACTTTTTCAGGTAATTATAGACTTTCGATTCCTTTCCCCGTATCATGATGGTAGTTAGTCCCTCAATCACCTCAATCACAATGACCACCATGCCTCAGGACACTGACTCCTTGCGTCATGCTCCCCGGAAGCGTACACGCACCGGCTGTATCAACTGCAGTAGACGCAGACGAAAATGTGGGACAATCCCCCGGAATTTAGTACTTTTCTAAAAGCTCACGATAGCCTAGGTGACGAGTCCAAGCCAACATGCACCGGCTGCAGACGGCGCGGAGAGAAGTGCCAATGGCGTGTACTAGGCTCCTTCCGGGAGGCCAATATCAAAGTCCTCGAGCCCGGCCATCCGTCCATGAACCAATCGGTTGGTCGGAATAGTCGGCAGAGTAAATTCAAGGTGGGTTGCTGCTGCAAGGAAAGCCGTCCTTGTCTGACCGAGTAGATATTGAATGTCGACCCTCCTTCGGCCCGAAAAGAGCGTGCTCGTAAAGAGCAGCCGATGCCCGAGAGGGCGCCATCCCCTCAACCCCAGCAGGAGGAGGCCTCCGCGCCTTCGCCGCTACCTGTTACTTATCCGGATCAGGCTCAGGCTCAATTACCTCAGGCTGACTTCAATCATTGCGATGATCCGGGCCTTTCCCCGTCGCTGTCGAGTAATGCTTCCTTTTACCCGGCTGCGGAGGTCCGCAACCATGAAGGCGATGGCGGCCGCAACGATGAGGCGACTAACGATCTTCCCAATCATATTGCCCATAACACTTCACCTAACCACCCATATATGCATTCCAGTCCTGAATTTGTTATAGATGAGCTCGCTGCATTACGGAATTTCTCCAACCATGCAGCATCCTTCCCTCAAACTGCCCAGGAGCCTTACCAAGCTATTACCTCACCTCTCTTCGATCACAGCGTCTTCTCCGATCCAGTCAACTTCACTAATGATGTCTTTCTGCCTGGATCCGCCTATGAGGCGCTTCACACTACGCTGCGGAACCGCCAGCTCTGGACTGCCCGACCGGACATCCCCAGTCGGTGTAGCTCGCCAGCGTCAGTTCCAGAGTCCGGGGCAGTGACTCCCAATGAGCTGCATCCGAGTCAAGTTAGCCACTACTCGAGACCAAGACGCCCGTTTGAACTCTCACCAGCTCGGGAAAATGTGCTGTGGCAGAACTATCTCAATGAGATTTGTCTATGGGTGTGTAGTTGTCCCATGTCGCTGCATCTACCTCGTACTGACCGAGCAGCTTGACATGTTCGACAACCATCGTCACTTTGCCTCGACCTACCCTCAAATGGCCAAGTCAGTGCCACATCTTCGCTATTCTATCTTGGCCTTATCTGCCCGCCAGATCGAGCGGAAACAGAACCAGAAGTCCCAGTCAGAAAGCCTTTCCCTGTACCAGGAGGCAATCCATCTCCTCCTCCCGGAGCTAGAGAGCAAGACGACACCAGTGATAGCGTCATGTGTGATTCTATGTGTATTGGAAATGCTAAGCTGTACGCTTGTCCACCCTTTTCAACCCAACACACCTAACATCCGACAGGCAATCCCAAAGAATGGCGCCGCCATCTAGACGGCTGCGCATATCTAATCCAAGCAGCTGAGATCAACGGATTCTCTGGGAAAGAAGAACAAGCCCTCTTCTGGTGCTTCGCGCGAATGGGTAAGTATACCCCACTCTCATGCAACAGCATTGTTTCTAATAGATCAGATGTCTGCGGCGGCCTCATCTCCGAGGAAGAGACCATCATCCCCATCCACCACTGGATTCCCAAGAACATGAGTCCGGCCGAAGCCTCCCAGCACTTCCTCGCCTCCAACATATCTGCCTTCGACACCTACGCAAACTACACCGTCTACCTCTGCGCCCAGACCCTCGGCGTTCTCTTCAACCCCTCCTCCCAACTCCCGCCATCCTGTGTATCGTGTCAATACCTCGGCAGTCCCGACGATCGAGACACGTACGTGCACCGCTGGACGCGTCTTTTCGACAGCGTCGAAGAGTGGTACGATAACCGGCCGAACCAGATGAAGTCGATCTTCGTCATACCGGCTTCAGCAGGGCCGATGCCGTTTCCGACGGTTTTGTATGGGAATGGAGCTGCTAGTATGTTTTCTTTTCTTCCTTTTTCTTTCGAGCCCATTTCTCTCGCTTATATACTGACGCGGCTAGTCTCTGGCAATCAATTGTATCATACGTGTGCGTTACTGTTGCTTCAGCGCAAGCCGAAGACTCTTTCTCTCTCCCGACGACCGGTATTGTTTCTGTTCTCTGAAGGCTTGGTTGAAATTCACGCTAATACAACTCTAGAAATCCGTCCTCTGGCACGCTAGACAGATCTGTGCGATCTCCGCTTCGAACACTCACCAGTAAGTTTATTGCGCTCATTCCAGTCGAAAGAGTACTAAGCTCTATATCAGCGGCTGCTGGACAAACGCCCTACAACCACTCTGGCTAGCCGGGAAAGCCATGTCACACCACTCCGAGCACACAGCCATCATCGAAACATTAACGCGTGTCGAGCGCGAGACCGGCTGGGCGACAGCGTGGAGAGTCGAGGACCTGAAAGACTTCTGGGGCGAGGACGACGACATGGACGAGATGGAGCCGATGCGGGTCGACGTGGAGGGGGATGTGAGTCTGCAGACTCCGCGGAGCATCCGGAGCCATTAGAAGTATGACTAGAGACGCATGACGATGTTGATGACGAGAGATTCATGGCATGGTTGCATTATGCTAGAACATCAATCCTAACTCTCAACAAATACAAATTACATCGCAAAACAGACATCACGAAGCCTCTTTGAATTCATACGCATTCTGTCCAAATGCCGCCTTCGCACCCGCTAGAATGGCGTGTGGGTTAATCCTCGACGGGAACAACTCCTGCATCCTGCGATAGAGCTCCTCAGGGCTCGACGCCGTCGAAGCCGCATCCTCAAACGCATGGATATATCGTCTCGTACTCTGGATATTAAACACGCCATCCACCGTCCCAGCCCTCTTATGCCCCGCAACCACAATATGAGGCTCAAGCGCCTCGATCGTATCCAACGCCCTCAGCCATTCCCGGCGTTTGCTCGTCGTATCCGCCTCCCCGAAGAACTGGTGCACATCGCCATACACAACGTCACCCGCCACGACGAGACGCAGATCAGGAACCCACAGAACCGTCGAGTCATGCGTGTCCGTGTGTCCCACATCTACGATCCGAAATACATGATCCTCCATCGTGAAGGTAGTAGACGGCCACGGTTCGGCCGTCTTCTGCGGCTGATAGATCTGGGCCGGGAAGAACCGCGTCCAGATATTGACGAACTTGTCTGGCTCAAGCTGGCCTTGCGAATGTGCCACGGTTGCTGGAGTGGCGATTGCCCGTGCGGATGGCCATCGCTGTAGGAGCACCGGGATCCCGAACCAGTGGTCGCCGTGCCCGTGCGTGATGTAGATGTACTTGAGTGTTTTTCCGGGTGCGGTGGCTTCGATCCATTGGATTAGTTCTTCGGTCTGGGTGATCGAGATCGGGGTGTCGACTAGGACAGCCTCGTTGGTGCCGTGGATAAGGGTGCAGGAGATTGGGGAGAAGGCGCTTGTTTGCCCCTCTCGCTGTATGGCGATGGGCAGACGCGAGGAGACCCATACGTCGGCTCGGAGGTGTGAACTCATGGTTTTGGAGGTAGATGTCGGAGTAGGACTGGTGTGTGTGTCCTGTTATTCCTGGTAGTTATCTCCTGGTGGCCCCGGGCGTGTTTAAATAAACTGTCCACAGAAGGGAAAGTGAGGTCAAATGTCATGGCCGGTAGGGACCCTCGGTAGGCTTCTTCCGAATTTATTGGATTTGTCAAATTAAGTAGACTCTCTTCTCATATCGATGTTTTTTCACCTCGGCGATTGTGCTGTGTCCCCGCGATGGATTGGATATAGGCGGGAGTATCAGTAATCCCGGAAATGAACTACCGAATGATAACTGTACTGAGTCTACAGCATATGCCTGTCCTACAACTACTATATATACCCCATGGCTTATACAGAACATTAAACCCGAGTCTTATCTCCCAAGAGAATCACACTATCTCATTCATACCCCTCCACATAAGTCATAACCAAGCAAACACGAACAATGCCCCGCTGGACCTTCTACCTATCCCCCAACACCCTCACGCAAGAGGAAAAAGGCACCATCGCCAGAAAAGTAACAGACCTTTACATCGGCTTCGGCATCCCCGCCTTCTGGGTGAACGTCTTCTTCCACGAGACCGGCGAGGGCAATTTCTACAGCGGGGGTGAATACCCCCCGAACGCCGTGTTCTTCCACATGGATCACGCGGCCAGCAAGATCGATTCTGAGGATCTGCGAGATGAGTTCATTCGGAAGGTCAATGATATTGTGGGGCCCATTCTGGACCCGAAGGGCATGAAATGGGAGTATAATATCTATGAGCATCCGAGAGATAACTGGAGGATTAATGGCATGATTCCGCCGATGGAGTATCCGGAGGTTTTGAGGGAGTGGAGGGAGAGGAATGCACCGGTTAAGTATGAGGGGGCGTATAGATGATCCCGTCTCTTTCTTTTGTTTCTTTTTTTTTTTTTTCTTTTTCGCTTTTTTGGGGGGTGGTTTGGGGGTTGTTTACGAGGCTTATTGTTCTGTATGGTGGGGATGTTGAGGGATGAAGCATGAGATGTTTGTAACTAGAGACCCAAGGGTAACTTGAGAATGCCTTTACCGCAATTGATTTGGACTGAGGACCTCCACTTAGTCTAATGGGGGTTGCAGTAAATGAGTGGAAGTATATAAGTGAATTGCAAACGGCGGCAAAGTATGAGGCCACCTCTGCTATATGTATCGAGATCGGATTCTATATTATCTTGATATGGCTTTGCCAGTCACTCTGATATTTCGCTGCTAGGAGTGTATAGGGATATTTTTTCTGTTCATGGAATATCTACCAGGCGTAGTTTACATCTACGCCTTTCATGACCGTTCAATCATAGCACCCCTCTGAATCTCTACCATTACTTGTACAACTGATGCATTGTGCATTCTAAATCAGTATCATGCAAGCTACCGATAGGGTAGAAAACCTCGAGTAAAAGGGAAAGAAGAAAGAAAAGTCCCCAGAAGTCTTCTCCAACACAGACTACACTTGAACATGCAAGTTGTCAGTGAACAATCTCTTAGCTCATGCTGACGCGACTTCAAAGTTGTCGGCAAATGTATCTGGTTATAGAAACTAGCCGTGGCTGTGTAAAGCTCAACTCGGTTCCTGATTTAATTACCGAACTCTCAGCCAGAATCATTGCTCCTTCAGCTCAATTCCCTAGATCCACCAACCCGCCTAGGAAGCCCTATGGTATAACTAACTAGGTTTTGACCGGATCATCTAATCTTTAGTCTACTCGAAGCTGTAAAGACCGCTAAATTAGAACAATCAGACCTCCTTTCAATTAAAATACAACTAGGATTTTCCACAGGGTCACCAGGTAGAACCGAGTTTCATAATTCTGATAAGAATTTGTTGTATTGGATCGATTGAATCTGCAACGGTCCGAAACTGGTGCGGGTCCGATCTCGGCTCCGACCCGCACTGCGGGTTCGGTGCAGATTTTGAAACCCTAGACTTTTAGCCTTGGGCACTCGATGTATACTTAGACGATGAGCTCAACAGTATATAACCTCTTAAAGAAGAGCTACGTATATTGAAGCATGTAGAATTAGAAGAGAGTTGTGTATAGTGCTCAGACTTGCGTACAAGCTCGTTTATCCGTGTGACGCCTAGAGGGGTATGAAAAGAGTCGGAGGGTATCCTGATATGGAGAACATCGGGATGTCTGATGTGCGCTATACTTCATGATCTTGGGTCATGCATCAGAAAACAATTATTGTCTAGACCCATTTCTCGCGCAGAAAATCGGGCGCTGGAAAGGTACGAAAGGGGCTGCCCTTGCGGGCGAGCAGACAAGTCGAGAACTGGTGTCTTGAGCGATATACTCCGTAGGGCGAAGATGTCCATTTCCACGACTTATTTTAAGTACACCTGGACAGTAGGACAACTGCCTTTTGCGGTACTAGGGCACAACACGACAAGTTTTCGAGCATTCGACAGGATACCTGTCAGGGGCAATCAAGGGATAAAAGCTCGTTCCACTTTTCGGCGACCCCTGAATCATAACCTGGACGAAGGTCTGTTGCCCTTCATTCTTCTACTTTTTTTTGTCCCGACATTCCTGGACTGACCATGGTTGAGACGAGACATTCCTTTCCGACGCGACTCCTTGGCGTGACGTGCAACTCATTCCCATCGTTGCCATGGAGGGTCTGGGAAGTATTCTCGCTAACGTGGCCTTGTTGATGGTTGAGATTCGTAATGTTATTGATATACTGGTCGCTATGAGGTAATTGGGGTCGTATTCGTTTCTACGTTGGGTTTGGGGCACGAAAGAAGAATAGGAGAAGTGGGCGAGGGAATTAGACTATTGGCAACGTTCTGCCAAGGCGCCTAGTAGCGAGCTTAAGTAATGGCGCAATTGCTAACTTTTCTCGCCTCTGCCCTGGAGTGTGGCTCAATGCGGTAAAATTGGCGCTTCGATGCCATGGTGAGAATGGCGGCTGCCTAAATAATGGTGTATTCTGGTCGGTAATCCTGCGTGGTGATGTAGAGGATCGCTGGTTATGGGAAATCTTGCAGCCTTGGAGCTATTGGAGGAAAATCAGGTTGAGTACTTCCTCTGGTTGATATAGGGGTCAGCTCGGTTAATAAAGAGATCGGGGAACACATAAGGGTGTGAAACAGATACTAAACTTAAAAAAAAAATTAAATCAAGATGTTAAGAAATAAGTCTTTCAAAGATAAAGTGATGTTTAAGTGGAAGCGACATAATATCACATTGTGTGGTTGTATTGATATATATGAAGCAATGTAAGATATATAATGATCAACCGGATATATATTACCAACATTGCAGTACTAATAACCAGTGGGGATCTGCCCTACGGAGAAAGGAATCCACTTAGTATTGTTGGCTATACTTTCAATAGGTATTTGATATGTAATAACAAACCATTGTTCTTGCGTAATGCACTCAATGCACTCAGTCCACTCGCAGACTCCAAGTTGAGATGAGCGAGGGTTGAGATACAGATCATATACACCCCACAACTGTGGCGCATGATGTCAAATAAGAGAACATGCGCCACATTACCCTAACCCCGATCAAGACTAGTGCACGACGTATATTGCCTGGGCAATCTCAGATCACCCCCTGATTGGCCCCAGGGGAGATGAGGAATGGATTTCCCCTGGAAATAGCAACGAAAATGCATGGCTTGAAACCAACTGGACCACGCTGGCAGGTGGATAATAACTTCCCATCGCCAGCAGATGAATTAATCTTGGACAAATCCTGACGTCGACTCCTTTTCCTGAATTCATCCCAAGTAGAACCCAATACACCAAAAGGAAGTCGTCATCGGCCCTTCCCAAGATGGACTGAGGGCTGAAACGGCGGAAGTTTATTGTTTCACTCTTTATTACTGCGCTGTGTCGCTCCTTATTTTGGTTTCGTCTTTTCTGGGAAGGATTTGCAGGGTGAACCTCCTACGACTGCCCTGGCCAACCCTCTTGTATACAACCTGTCCCTACCCATCTGTGTTCGCAAACAATCCTGAAAGATGGCGCCGTCCGCACTCGCTGCCCTCGGGCGTGTCACATCCCCAAAAAGCTTCAAGGGCGGCCCAGAAGCCGAAGCTCTCGTGTCGCCTCCCAGCCCCGCGGTTCCAGATTACGATCCTACAATCAATGCAAAGCCCTACTCACCTTTTTATCGCCATGCGACGCAAAACTTCACCGGACAGACCCCGAATGCCGCTCTGAAAGTACCCAACGCCGATGACCTGGAAACCGGCGCCAGTGCATATCGACCATCCGGGGAGTCGGACAATCGCCGCAGTTCGAAACTCTGGACGGAGAAGAAGAGACATTGTGACTGGCTCAGAGCATTGCCGAAGAAGCAAAGAATAGCCGTGAAGGCGGTCATTGCCATTGTCATCGTGGGGACAATGGTGGCTATTGCCCTGGGCATTACGGCGGCCGTTGGGGGAGGGGTGTGGAAGTCGAACCACCAACAGGGGGCTATTGGATCCTGAGTGCGTATGTTCTTTGACGATGAGCAACGCGGCCAGGTCTGACTCGGTTTCTAGTGCTTCAAACAGGTTTTTTTTTGACAACTGCTTACGAATTCCATATTCTTCACTTCTCCCCATGCACGCTGGGGTAGCTATTCTGCGAAAGACTTCCGGCACAGTGGACCGGACGAACAAGGGGCGACAACAGAAGGAAAAGGGATGGCAGAATACCCCGAACGGGCGTGCGACTGGGATTACCGTGTAACTATATGTCGCTTGATCGGCCCAGGCAATGGTCCAGACGCGTGGACTTCGACCGTGATAGTGACATTTCCTTCATGTGAGAGAGAATTAGTCGATGACAGCCAAGAAATAAGATCACTCGTATTCTTAACTCTGAACAAAACTGGAGTGGGCCTGTGGCCTGGCTCGGCTACCATTCGTAGATCGGTGCCTGATCGCCTAGATAGGGTGCCTGGCGGCGGAAGAACGTCGGTCCATAACACGTGACCCACAGGTGCTACAAAAAGGCCGATCACGAGCATTCCTTTGGGATTTTTTTTCTTCTTTTTCTTCATTACATCGAAAAGCTTTAACAGAACCTGCCACGACCGTCGTCCAGTCTTTATCCCACGGCGACGTGTTGCCTTCGGTCTACGGACTGATTGGTTCTGGAGAACAAAAACTCCTCGATAGGAAGTTTGCCTTTCGTTGGGTCCTCTTCAGTGAGGGCGATGAGGGGTGAATGTCGATGACGGGATACATATCGACTTGGAAAATATCTGTGATGTCCACAAGTCCACTTAGCTGCAATATGAGAATGTTACTGGAGAGACCTTTCAGCCACGCCTGCTGTAGAATGGACCGTAGTTCGTCTCCGTAGAAAAAGAATTGTTTTGGCGCCACGTGCGGAATGTGGTGTCAGGTGCTTGCAGTCACGTTGACCAAAAGTGACTGTCAAGGTTTCTGCAGATACCATCGTCCACGTCCTTGATTGCGTCAAAAGGGCCCAGATTTCCGCAAGGTCAATGCTTTGCGATCCTCTCCTTTTTACAGGACCAACGCGACGCGAATCCTGCTCGACGACTCGAACAGGGGCATGGGCCAGATGACGGTCGAGGCAGGGGTTCTCCGACAAACAAGGCGTGCAGAGCATACCGGTCCCTTCAAAGCCACGAAGTGAGGAATGTGCGACCGGGCAATTCGATCAAGCCTGGACGTAACAAGATGTGAAAAACAAGGCTTAGGCCCAGCAAGGCCCATTCTTTGGGGGCATTCTCAGCTGGACAACAGTCACTCGGTGTTTGTTTGTGGCGCCCAAGGGGAGACCGACATACCAAGTGGTCGGAGGATGGGTTGATGTTATTGGGATGATAAAAAGGTCAACCTTGTCCAGCCCTCGTGGAGGAGGAATCGAGAAGTCCCAAGGCCTAATCAAAAGTCTTTCTTTCAGTTACTTTCCTTAATTAATATTAATCGAGGCTGTGCCTGTTCAGTCCGTTGTCGCTCTTTTAGATTTAGTGGACGCCGAAAGGGATAATAACGCAAGCAAGATGAAGGGACTTCAGAATGGTATTCCCATCGCGATGCTGGCTGCGATGGCTAGTGCCCAGGGGCTCGGTGGACGCCCCACGGTTGATACCGGCAACGGTGTGGGAGTAGGCTTCAGTAACCAGTTCTCCAACGAGGTGGACAACTTCAACAAGGACGACCACTCCGCCGATGTGCACACCGAGACCAACATTATCAAGGCCCCGCCCCACCCTCACGGTGGTCCACATGGCCCGGAACATGGTGGCCACGATGGTCACGGAGAAGGGGAGGGAGCACACGGACACCAAAAGCGCGGCGGTGTCATCGACAGTGGTAACTCGGCGAGCTTCGACTTTGACAATGAGTTTACCAACGAAGTGAACAACGCCAACCTTGATGACCATTCACTCGATGTTCATAAGAACACCAATATTGTGACACCTCCACCTCATCCTCATGGACATGGCGGACACGGACCCGAGCATAAACGCCGGGACGAGGAAGAGCCACACGGACCGTCAACGATTGACACTGGTAACGATGCAGACTTCACTTTCACGAACGAATTCCACAATGAGGTGAACAACTACAATGGGGACAACCACTCAGTCGACGTGGACAAGCATACAAACGTTCACGTCGCACCCCCTCACGGCGGTCCTCATGAGTCGCATGGCCACGATGGTCAAGAGGGCCACCACAAACGTGCGTATCGACCAGACGCCGACTCGGCTGCTGAACCTGGTACGGTGGACACTGGGAACACAGCCAACACGCAAGTCTCGAACTCGGTTGACTCGAAGACCAATTCCGCGAATATTGATGACCACTCTGTTAAGGTGCACTCTGACGTCAACGAAACCGTTGGTGCACCTCACCATCATGAGCACCATGAGGGTGGGCATGAAGAGCCTGGCGAGAATCATCAGGAAGAACCGTCAGAGCCTGCTGACGATCAGGAGGAACCTTCGAAGCCGGTTGAACATCAACCCGCCCAGCCGGTGGAACACCCTGAGGAGGAGCATAAGGAGCCTGTTCCTACGTGCACCACTTTGACTCGCGAAGTGGTGCACACCGTTGTCCGCACTTTGCAGGGCCACTCTGAGGCCACACACGCTCCCCAGCAGCCGGCGGAGGTGAACACTCCCGCTGCTCAACCTGAGGAACCTAAGGAACATGGAGAATCCGGACATGGCGACCCCAGCCATCAAGCGGAGACCCCCAAGCCGACAGGTTCTGAAGGCTCTCACCAGGAGGACTCGGGACATGCTGAGCCTAGCCATGAAGCAGAGAGCCCCAAGCCGACAGGTTCTGATGGCTCTCACCAGGAGGAATCCGGACATGATGACCACAGCCCAAGGACACCCCCAAG